CCCTTACTGTTCCTAAGAATGGGACTTACTCATCTATGGTTCCTCTGGGCTGAGTCCCCACCAAACTGCCAGCCCCAGGGGGGCAGTGATTTGAGTCCGTCGTGTACCCCCCAGTGAGTGAGAGAGAGAATGAACGGGTATCTTGCACACTTTCTCTGTGTGTCTCTCGCTGCTGCTCTCCCAGTTTCCAGCGGTGTGTGTGTGTGTGTGTGTGTGTGTGTGTGTGTGTGTGTGTCGCTTTCCCACGCCTCTTCCAGGCTTCCGCTCCTCCAGCGGGCCAGTCCCAGCTGGCCCCGCACCCCCAACCCCCCGTTCCCAGGAGCTCCCTGGCCGGGCCCAGCTCCCTCACCCTCAGACCAGAGGCCAGAGCCCCGAAGGGGGGCTGGGCCTGGTGGCCCCAGGACCGTGCCCTTTGCCTCGGCTGCTGCAGCCTCTGCCGGCCACAGGGGCGATGAACTTGAACGGGAGGCTAAGAATGGGGTGGAACTGAGACGTCCGGGTAAGGGACGGAGAGGGACACGCAGGCCAGGGCGCGACCCCAGGGAGCCCCTGGCAGAATCCCGGGCTCCTGTCCCCGCTGTTCCTCCGAGAGACAGGGCGCTCCTGCCTGCTCTGACCAGTCACAGCACGCGGGCACTGCCGGTAGGGGGTGGGGGTCACGCTGTGCACAGCGAGTGCCTACAGCCTGGCGACCTAGCCGGCTGGAAGGAGCCTGGAAGAATACCCGCACGCACAGAACCAGGCCCGCACGCACAGAACCAGCCCCGCGCGCGCAGAACCAGCCCCGCGCACAGTAGAACCAGCCCCGCGCGCAGCAGAACCAGCTCCATAGTGACCCTCTGCAAGGGGAAGCCGCAGCCAGGCGGGAGGGTGGCTGCTTCACACCTCCCAGGCAGCGATCTCACCTCCAATGGCTCGCTCAGCAGTGGAGGGAGGCTCTTCCTGCTGCGGTAGGTCGGTCGGTGGGTGGGGGCCCAGCACCTCCCACTCCTGCCTCCTCCGGGCTCTGCTTTCTCTGGGGCCCTAGGGAATGGGGCTCCCAAGCCTGGACCAGATGTCAGGAACCTCCTGGAGGATCTGTGCTTCCAACCCGACACCCCGTTCCATACCCACAGCCAACAGTTCTTAAAACTCAGATCACACCCCTTCCCTGCTCCAGACTCTCCCCCGGCTCCCCATGTCGCTTTGAGTAAACACCCAAGTCCTCCTCAGGGCCCACAGGCCCTGCACAGTCTCTCCTCCTTCCTTCTCCACCCGCCCCCCTCCCGCCTTACTCCCAGCCCCACTGGCCTCCCCCTGTTCCTCACATACTCCAAGACCTTGGCACTTGGGAAGAAGTCTGCCCAAAGCACCCTTCTTTCAGCCCCTCCAGGCTGGTCCCTCCTCCCCAATCTCACATGACAGCACCATCTGAAACATTGGTGGTTTTTTAAAAAAATTTTTTTTATTGATTTCAGAGAGGAAGGGAGAGGGAGAGAGAGAAACATCAATGATGAGAGAATCATTGATTGGCTGCCTCCTGAATGCCCCCTATTGGGGATCAAGCCCACAACTGGGCTTGTGCCCTTGACCGGAATCGAACCCGGGACCCTTCAGTCCACAGGCCAACGCTCTATCCACTGAGCCAAACCGGCTAGGGCTACATTGGTTATTTGTTTATTCTTCTGGTAC